CGGACCCCGAAACTGCCGGGGCCGCTCCCGGGGCCCCTCAGCACGAGGGAGGTACAATGACAGGCTGCCCGAGCGCTTGCGGCTGAAACACTTTACTTTCGCATATTTCCCCCAAAATACGTGATCGTGTAAATAGCTTACTCGGGTTTTTTGCTCCCCATTTCCACAGTCCTTTCCGAGGTCTAGGTCCTGATTTATCTATTTCGTGGACTTCTGTTGTAGTAGAATAAATGGTGGTTTGGGAGTCATAGAGCTCTGCCATGAAAAGCGCGGCTTCATCACCTCCTGGCCGTGTGACTGCGGGCAAATCACCCAGCGCTCAGAGCCTCGATCTTTCCCAATTGCTAAGCAGTAGTATGATAATATCTGTTACTGTCTGCAGGGTTATTGTGTAGGTTAAACAGGGGATGGCCGAGAGCGCTTACCTTTATGTTTGGCTTATAGGACACTGTCATTAAGTGTGAACTTCCTCTCCCTGCTTTTCCCCAACTGATTTACCTACTTCCAGTTTCTCCTTTCCAGTCCATCGAAAGCTGCCAGAATAATCTTTTTAAAAGAAAAAAACTGTTCATGGGAACTCCTCATAGTTCCCTTTACCTACAGGAGAAAAATGCATATCTCTTAGCTTGGAATCCAGGGCTCTTTGCAACCTTTTCCGTCTCATCTGCCCGTGACATTCCCCAAACATGCTAGGTCCTTAATTCTTAACTCCCATATGCTCTCCTCCTCTTCCTCCTCAGAGATTTAGCTTAAATATCACGTAAGAGAATTTTTCCTAACTTCTCCCAGGCATAGGTCACCGGTCCATCATTTTTGCCCGTACAACTCTTTGTCCACAATTCAGTTGAATCATTTAGCCTTTTATGTTGTGATGATCAGTTTACATGTCATTTACTCCCTATTAACTGTTTGAAAACAAGGGATTAAATCTTACTTATCTTTGTATTTCTACCCCAGGGCCTACCAACGGTATTTACTCCGTGAATGTTGAATTATACTGATTTTTTTTTTTTTTTAAAACAAAGTTTTTGCAAGAGAAAACACTTTGAGGGTAGTATCTTTGTGACTTCTAAATGATTATGGGATAATATTACTTGAGGAGTATGATGGATAGCTTTTATTCATCTCTTTTTTTTCTTTTATGTTTCTGAAGATTGTTAGCCCTGAAAACACCAAATCCAGCTCAGATGATGAGGAGCAGCAGCAGATGGAGCTTGATGAAGAAATGGAGAATGAAATTTGCAGAGTATGGGATATGTCAATGGATGAGGTATGGGGTAGAAAATGAAAATGAAAAGACTGTTGGGTAAGGAGGTGATGCATGGATTTTTTTCTTAAAGGTTTGGTTCTTAAATCTCTGGGGAAGACTTTAGTGTCTGTAATCACTCCTGTATGAGGTACAGGGAATGAGGTCCCAGGAGCTGTAAATGCTACACTTTAGTCTTTCAGGTTTGTGCTAAATATAGTTTTTGTGAATGCAAGAAGTCTTGTAACCCAGGAAGGTTCTGATACTTATCTACCTAAAGAGAACGCTGACCCCGTATTTGAGAGCAGGGTAGGAGTTAGGAAACCATTTATGTACCATGATTAAATTAGAAGGAAGGAGCAAGGAGGAGTTACATGTAAATAATTGCAATACAATATTTTAACATTTGTATTGTACTCTGTAGCTCAAAAGCATTTTCATGTATATTATTCCATCTATTCTTCACAGTAACCTTGTGATGTAGGTAGTACTCTTATTTTACCCGTAAGAAAAAAAGGTGAAAGAGATCAGTGCACATAAGCTCTCATTTTATTACTTGAACTTCACAATAGATTCCTGATTAAAATCCTGTTCTAGTCTCTTTTACTTCCCTTCTGTCTTCCACATTGCCACCCAAGTTATCTTTTTCCTAAAACAGATTTAATTGTATTTTTCTGTCTTAAAAATTGTTGATGGCTATTCATTGTCTTTAGCCAGTTTTTAAAAACAGTTCTATTGAGGTATAATTGACACAAAATATACTTGAGGCATAATTGATTAACAAAAACTGCACATATTTAAACTATACAATTTGAAAAATTTTGACGTGTGTATACACACATGAAACCATTACCATAATCAAGATAGAGAGAACATTATCTCTCACCCACAAAGGTTTCTTTATGCCCCCTTTAAGCCCTCCTCTTACCCCCTCCTGCCTCTACCCATGCCAGACAACCACTGATCAGCTTTCTGTCACTTCAGAATACTTTGCATTTTCGAGAGTTTTATATAAGTTGGATCATATTTGTATTTTGGAGGGGTCTGGCTCTTTCACTCAGCATCATTATTTTAGGATTCATCCATGTTATTGTGTATTTTAGGAGGTTTTTGGTTTTTTAAAATTATTTCTGAGTGATATTTTATTATATGTATATATTATGATTTAGTCATTTCTTCACCTGTTGGTGGATATTAAGTTGTTTATAGTTTATTACAGACAAAGCTACTGTGACCTTTTGTGTATAAATATGTATGGGCATATGTTTTCTTTTTTCTTGGGTGAATACCTATAGTAGTGTGGTTGAATCATATGGAAGGTATATGTTTAACTTTTTAAGAAATGGTCAGATTTTTTCCAAAGTGTTTTTTACGTTTACATTACCATGAGCAGTGTATGAGCTACTATTCCAGCTCTAGTTCCTCCTCATCTGTACCAGCTGGCTATGGTCAATCTTTTTAATTTTAGCCATTCTAATAAGTATGTGGTGATTCTCATAATCATAACTTGGATTTCCTTAATTACTAATAATGTTGAATGTATTTTCATGTGCTTATTTGCTGTCTGTTACCTTTTTTGGTGCAGTGCCTGTTCGAATCTTTTGCCCATTTTAAAATTGTATTGTTTTTTTCTTAAAAGTTTTATAATTTTAAAAGTTTTACTTCTAGATCTATGACCTATTTTGAGTTCATTTTTGAGTATGATGCAAGGTATGGATGGAAGTTCACTTTTTTTGCATTTGGGTATCCAATTGTTCTAGCTCATTTATCAAAAAGACTGTCCTTTCTACACTGAATTACCTTTATACCTTTGTTAAAAATTAGTTGTTTGTACATATACATGTGAATCTGTTTTTAGACTCTTTTCTGTTCCATTGATCTGTTTGTCTATTTTTACATCAATCCCACACTGTTTTGATGACTACCATTATAATAAATCTTGAAATCAGGTAGTGTTAATCCTCCAACTTTGTTCTTTGTCAGAGTTGTTTTGGTTGTCATGGGTCCTTTGTATTTCCATATTAATTTTAGAATCTGAGATTGAGTTGAATTAATAGATCATTTAGGAGAAGAATTGATAAATACTGATAATGAGTCTCTTGATCCATGAACAAGTTATATCTTTACATTTATTTAGGTCTTCTCTAATTTCAGCAAACTGATTTAGTTTTGGGGCACACATTTCTAACAGGATGAGATCACATGTCCACTCCAGGTTCCTTTACCTCTGTGGTGTGTCCTGTTAGGTCATGTGGACTGGGCAAATTCTAGGAAGGAAGTGTGAAGCTGCTGCAGTTACACTGTGATCAGAATTTTTTTCTATTGAGAATTTGAAAGCACAAATTCTAATTTTGGGCATAACCCAATAGGAGTATTCCCTTGTTTCTCCTGTTGTGTTTTAAGTTCTTAGAAGATAGGAATTAAGAGGGTTACTTTTCCCCTATTCCTGGCTTCCAGCATGATACCTAGCAATCAGGAAATGTGTTTGAATGAATGAGAATTCCTGGTGGTTAAGATCATTAGTGTTAATATATTCAAGGCAGAAAAAAGAGGACAACCCTCTGGAATATCACAATTCGTTTAGATTTGTTTATGGAATTGTTCCATTGCCTTGGGACCAGCTACCACAAAGACTTTCTTTTTTTTTTTTAAATATATCTTTATTGATTTCAGAGAGAGGAAGGGAGAGGGAGAGAGAGAGACAGAAACATCAATGATGAGAGAGTCATTGAACGGCTGCAGCCCGCAACCCAGGCATGTGCCCTGACGGGAATTGAACCCTGATCGCCTGGATCCCAGGTTGACGCTCAACCGCTGAGCCACGCCCGGCCGGGCAAGACTTTCTAACATTATTTTTATCTATTGACACAGTTCCTAACTTTTTCTCCTTGTGTCTGAAAGGAGGTATATATGAAATTAAAATTTTTTTATGGTTGCCTAAGCTATATGTTTAAAGAGGAATATTCAACATCCAAGTTAATAATCGTTTTTATTTTTAGGATGTGGCTTTATTTCTCCAAGAATTTAATGCTCCTGACATATTTATGGGCGTATTGGCCAAATCCAAATGTCCTCGATTAAGAGTAAGTATGTACGTTTTTGTAGCCTCCTCTGTGGAGCAATAACAGCAAATAATGCTGGATAGTCTTTCATTTTTCTCACTTTAATTTTCTTTCTGGCTACAAATAGTCTGCAAGTGTTTATTGAACATTACCAGGTTCTAGGTAATGTGCTATTTGAAATGATTAGAATCCTAGAATTTTAGGTTTGGGCTGGACCAGGGAGATCAATACTTTCAAATAAGCTTAACTGAAGTTATGCCACTAATCTGTGGCAGAACAGGGAACAGTGCCTGCCCTCCCATTTCTGTTTATTGTTCTTTTTTATTCATAAAATCCTCCATTCCTTAAAAATCTTCATTCTAAACTCAGCCTATTATTCAAGACTTTCCATAATCTGAATCTAGTTCATCTTTCTAGCATAAAATCTACACTTCAGATATCCAAGGTGGTACTTTTCTTCTAAGCCTTCTCAAATAAGTAAGCTCGCAGTGGCCATTGTTCATAATAAACTCCCAAATAATTATCTGTACTTCTCATTTACTCTTTATGTTCTGTGCAGTGTACTATGCTTTAGTGCTATTTAGGTTGCTATGTGTTATGCGTAATGTAGGTGATTAATAAATATCTATTAAGTAATTATAATTATGAATAACTGCTATTAACTGATTATTTGATTTTATTACTCTATTAGGTTGGCATTTATCTCTATAAATAAAAGAACTAGGTCTCAGCTTAAGAAATTTGTCTAAGGTCTTACAACTAGAAAAGAATAGAGCTGGGGATTGAGCCTAGCCTGTCTTTCAGTATAACCACTGTACTGTATTGTCTCTCTCAGTGGAAAATTCTATAGCATGTTTTCACAAATTGAATGTTGAATTAAAATTTTATTTAGTATAGTGCTCTACACGAGTTGGTGCCTGATGAAGCACTTTTTCTTTGGGTCATTATATTAATATAAAGACTTGACAGTTAATATGACTTTCTCCTGTATTTTTCTAACTTAAATACATTGATTCATGAATAATCCTTAAAGAAAGTAAACTTATGTCAGGAATGGTACCTTTCAGGAATTAGTCATATTATTATATATCCCATAGCCTGTCTGCAGCAGTGATTCTCAGCCTTGGCCACAGGTTAGAATCACTGAGAATGTGGACTCTCAAACTTCAGCGTGTCCCAGAATTAATGACTACTGGGTGCACCCCCAGAGTTTCTGATCAAGGAGGTTTGGGGCAGGATTGAGGAGTTTGAACAAGTTTGTAAGTGATGCTCTGTACCAGGGCCCTGTACCACGCCCCACATTTTGAGAAGGTTTGCCCTAGGGCACTTTTAAAAATCCTGAGTCAGGCCATACCCAGACCAGTTAAACAGAGTCTCTAAGTGTGAGGCTCCAGAGAGCTTTTAAAATTCCCCCAGGGGATTCATTCCAGTGAGCAGCTAAGATTGAAAAACTTGGTCTTTGACTAGAAGTTCAATTATTCCCTCTTTAGTTTTTAAAGAAATTGTATATGTTTCCTTTCTGCTCCAACTCTTCATCTTTTACTAACACGTGATCACCCGCATTTTATTGAAACTTCACTCCTGTAGCTTTGGTGCCACCTATTCTCCTGGTCTCTGACCTCTTCAGTCACTTCCCTGTCACTTTTAATGGCTTCTTTCTTCCTCTATGCTGAGTGTAGACTCCTTCTAAGAGGTAGACCCAAATCCATTGTTTTTTTAATATTGATTTCTTTAGTGAGCTCATCCACTCTTTACATCATTAAGTTGCAAATCTGTACCTGTGGGATCAAAGCTGTGAACCCCCTTCTGATTTCTGGTGCCATATCTCCAACTTTTTTTAGGTGCTCATTCTATACTTGCCTGCTGCATCTTCCAATCCAAAGTTCTATATACCCTAACTCAGTGATGTATCATACATATCTGATCATAAAAAATCATGTGGTATGCTTTGTAAACAGTGGCTTCCAGGCCCTGCCCTGGAAATTCTGATTGAATATTTCTGAGATGGGAGTTGGAAATCTGTATTTTTAACATGCCCTGTACGTAATTTTTATGTTCCAGCAAGTTTGGAAACTACCTTAGCTGAACTCATTGTGTCTTTTCCTACACTTTCTTTTCCAATTTTCCTGTCAATGATATCTCCAACTGGAGAAGTGAAAAAACTTGAAACCTAGGAGTCATGTTCAACTGCTTTCTGCCTTTGCCTCGTGTCAAACTGTTTTGCTTTCACCTTGAGTCTTTTTCATCTTTATGCCTTTCCATGCCTGCCATTACCACCCTCATCTTCTTGCACCTTGATTACTGAGATACAGTATGGTATAGTGGCCGAGTGCTCAGGCTCTGGAGCTCTGCTGTTTCCTAGTTGGGGACTTTGGGCAAGTTGCTTAACTTCTCTGTGCTTTAGTTTCCTCATCTGAAAAATGGGGATAATAATAGTACCTACCTCATAAATTTTTATATGAAATGATACATGGAAAGTCTTAGAGTAGTGCGTGGGCGTAGTAAATGCTAAATAAACATTAGCTGTTATCACTGAGGTTATTAACTTCTTTTAAAATTTTTTCACTATCATGCAATATGCATTTGCTGCCAGAGCCATCCTCCTAAAATATCATTGCAATATGTTGTTCCCTTCCTTGAGGACCTTCATGGCTCCACATAACCTCCCAAATTAAATCTAAACTCTTCATGGCATTCAGGGCCCTTAATCCTGATCCTTTTACCTGCTGTATTTAGCTCACGCTCTTCTCTCACTTTATGCAACAGCCAGGCTCCTTTCTTTACTGTCCACTGTAGTAGCATGTACATTATCCCCTTTTTGTCTTTCTTGATACTTTGCCCTTTTTTTGAGTATCTTTGTTATTTTCATATCTAAATCCTGCCAGTAATTTAAAAGTTTATCCATAAGATTCTTCCATGGTGTCTGCCTGCCTTTGATCTTTCTTTTTCTTATGTCTTTCATCCCTTTCCAAATACTCTGAGCTTGTCAAGATTGGGGTACAGGCAATATATTTCTATATGCTGCCTCCTGTTCCGTTTCCTGAGGCTCAGTGCAAGTTTTTCTTCAAGTGTTTATTCTTGTATGTGTCTTTCACCTAAGAGCCATTGTGACCTGTGACATTTGATTCGACAGGAAATCTGCGTGGGAATTTTAGGTAATATGGCCTGTTTCCAGGAGATATGTGCATCCATCAGCAATAATAAAAATCTTGGGTAAGTATTACTATGCTAATTATATTTAAAAACATAGATTTATATTTCATATCCCTAAGGAACTCCTGATACATAGGAGAGACAGAAAAATATTATGAAGTATAGTACTTCCTTTCTCCTCATGAACGCTCTCCAAGAACTTCGCTGTGGGTTGATGGTAGCTAGGAGCTTCCACACCATTTATAGACATGAGACAAGATTTTTATCCATAGCAAAGGAACCTGAATCATCAGTAGTTGGTAAATCAGATAGGGTAAGAACCAGTGAGGCAGAGCTTAGAGATGGGGCACCTGACCAGAGTCCAAAGCAGTTTAGGCTCAGGGAATCGAAGGGCTCAGAGAGCTAGAGTCTGAAAAAAACTAGACTTGTTGACAGAGTTACCCTGAGAACTCTGACTTAGATCAGGGGGTGGGACTTGCCAACAGACTAGAAGACACAGGATTGCCTCTATGATTCAAAGGTTCCATTCTCTGCTTAGAGGTAGTTGTCTTCTCCGGGCAGTATAGTTTGGGGCAGAGGATTTTTTAATGATGGAAACCCCAGTGGTTACTTTAAGAGTTTTGAGAACACCCTAGAAATATAGGCTAAATTTTGTGAGTGAGTTCATATTCTATGCAGAGGGTTCATGGCTGTTCATCAGAATCTCAAAGAAATTTGTGCCTACAATAATTTCAGAATACTGTCTTGGGTGGTTATTGCTAGTAGGGCTGTAGGGTTTATCACAGGACTCAAGTGATATGACAGAGGTGGTTGATTACCTTTTCTCTGTTTGGAGGGACTTTCAAATCCTAGGTATTTATTCCTCGGTAATTGATAATCATTTATGGAGTAGATGACTCAGGCTTGTGTTTGGTCTCTAGTGGTCCCTATCAAAAATCTGAGAATGAGTAATGTTAACAAGTTTTATAAATTCAATAAATACTTATCTTAAAATTATGGAACAGTTTACATTGATGACAGGATATGAATTTGTTCAATCAATTTGGAAGAGTTGGGCATTCTCTAGTCAAGTTGGAAGTTAGGCATATATTGTGACCCAGTAGTGCCACTGGCAGATATATGGTAAGAGAAACTGTGCACGCATACATCAGGATGCTTATACAAAAAGTATCATAGGAGCATTGCTTGAAATAGCCCAAATTGGAATCAACCCAAGTGTCCATCAGTAGTAGGCTGGAAAAATTAACTATATTAGATTTGTACAATGTAATGTTCTGTAGCAGTGAATCAAAGAACAACAGCTACAGGAAGAGCATGGGTAGATCTTAAACACATGGCGAAAAAATGAACTCAGAAACCAAAATATACTAAATAAAACTATGAAGTAAATAAATGAGTGCTGGAAAGTCAGGATAGTAGTTATTTCTAGATGGGAAAGAATTGTGATTTGGAAGGGGCACATGGGCTATGGAGATGCAGCGCTGTCCTGTTTCTTGGTAATATAAGTGTTTGCTTTATAGTTATTAAGTGTAGATTTTATCACAGGCTTTTACATGCATATGCTGTATTTCACAGTTAAAATGTTTGAAGAATTAAAAACTCTGATACTTAACTTGAGAGAATTGATGCATATTGGTTTAACGGTTTTGTTTTGGTAGACAGGTATTATTGCACTGTTTGTATGATTCAGACCCTCCTACACTGCTGGAAACAAGCAGGTATGTTTTCCTCTTTTTATGGACTTTATACTCACCCATAAGGGAGTCTAGTAGAGTTAATTCTTTATTTTTGCATTTCCTTTAAAGTTTTTGAAAGATAGATATCAAGCTCACATTTATTTATCATGTAGGTTGTTTCTAACGTGCCTTTCCCAGACAGAAGTGGCCAGTATCTGGGTTGAAAGAATCCAGGAACATCCAGCTATTTATGATAGCATTTGCTTCATCATGTCAAGTTCAACAAATGGTAGGTCACCATGTAATCTAGAAAAATTTATTTTATTTTATTGTTAGGAAACCAGGTAACTCTTTCTGGAGGTCACTTAAGGCTAAGTGTAAGGTGAGAGAGTATTTCAAGTCAAGATATAAATTTCTTGTATCATGTCAGGTGGGTACTAGATTTATTGGGGTGATCATTTTGGAAGATGTATAAATGTTTCATCACTATGTTGTACAGCTGAAACTAAAGATTGTATGTGAACTGTAATTGACAAAAATTATTTCAAAAGAGATATAAAATTTCTTTTTAAAATTTTTATTCATTGATTTTAGAGAGAGAGGAAGCGAGAGAGAGAGAAAAACATTGGTTTGTTGTTCCACTTATTTATGCATTCATTAGTTGATTCTTGTATGTGCTCTGATCAGGGATTGAACCCTCAACCTTGGTGTATCGGGAAGACACACTCTGACCAACTGAGCTACCAGGCCAGGGCATAAAATTTCTTCTTAAACTCCCAAGCAAAGGAGGCAGATTTACTGCTCTTGAAATAAGTAATGTTTTGGCAAGATTGGCTTTATTGGAATAGCTTTAGGAATCTTGATTAATATTACTACTTTCAAAATTTTGTTTCTCATTTCGGTATCTGTTTTATTCTCCGCAGTTGACTTGCTGGTGAAGGTGGGGGAGGTTGTGGACAAGCTCTTTGATTTGGATGAGAAGCTAATGTTGGAATGGATTAGAAATGGGGCTGCTCAGCCTGTGGACCAACCCCAGGAAGATTCTGAAGAACAGCGAGTGTTTAGAATTGTGCCCTGTGTGCTTGAAGCTGCCAAACAAGTACGGTAGGTGAGCTCTTTTGTACAAAATGTTCTGGGAAAATCCAGTTACTAGAAGTGTGCTTAGATAGATATCATAATTTCCTTTCGACAGGTTGAATAGCACACAGCTGATCTTTGTCAGGTTTGCTTCACTACTAATATTTGTAGTGACAGTATATTTGTCCTGTACTAAAATTGGTAATAGTTACAAAGTACTTGTTCTAATATAAGCTGTAGGCTATTGTTAGCATTAATTATCCTTAGTGTCTTGAAATCTTGTGCAATTTTGTGTAATTTAAATCAAATAGATATGATTTTCTTGTGCTTTATTTTACATTGGCCATTTAACAACTTCTTCAGTTAACATCAGATGTTTATTTTCTTGCTTCTTGTGTAGATATGCCAGTCTTGGGTAAGCAACTGACTTTTGGGCTCTTCCCAAGAGTGATTACTAGGTCTTGTAGGTTATTGAAACTATTTACTATTAGTGACTGGAAAATTAACTTATGAATTTATATCTGTTTAATGGTCAGTTGTGCAATCTTAGTTCTTAATAACCCACATTAAAGCTTATTAATTTTATGTCCTTTATCCAAGCAAGGATTAAATTCATCATTTCCCCCAAACCTTCAGGATTCTCAGTCTCAGTAAATGACATAATCATTATCCCATTTGGATAATGGGGAAGAAATGTGGAAGCTGTTGCTGACTCTTCCCCATCTCACTCTTCCCATGGCCATTCAACCTCCAAGCCTTGATCCTGACTTTCTCTGGGATGCCATCTGTGCCACTATCAGGCCACTGTCTCACCTGGACAACTGCAACACTCTCTTACCTGAGTTCCCTGCTTTGAGGCTTGCTCCTTCTAAGCCTAGACTGTAGAGCACACAATGATCATCCCACTTTCATGCTTCAAACTCTTCAGTTGCTTTTCTTAGGACGTTTCAGATCTTTTAGAAGTTTGACTTACAGGATCCTGCCCAGTGCCTCTCCATCCTCATTCTTGGTACTTCTGTGTTTCACCCACACGGAATTCCTTCATTTCTTCACTGAGCCAAGGCCTCTTCACTCCAAGCCTTTGCACACTGTGTCTCCTCTACCTCAAACATTTCTTTGCCCCTTCAGGTTTCTGGGTAAACAGTGTTTCTCTTAAGATGACTTTCCTGATTCTCCAAACTAAATGAAGTCTGTTTGCTGTGTGTTCCTCTAATACCTTGGACTTCCTCTAGCATTACATTCTTATTACTTCGTTATTACCCCTTTAGTTATCTTCTTTCCTTTTAGACTATAAACCTCATGAAGGTGGGAATAATGTCTTACACATCTGTTTTCCCAGCCCCTAACATAATACCTGAAAACAGTAGGTACTTAATATTTGCTGAACCATCTTTTAATTGTTTACTGTCTTTTCACATAATTGCTTGGTTGAAGAACTAAGATTGTGAGTTTCTAGGCATCCAAACTGTTGAACATAAAGGTTGTACTTAACATGGTTTTAGTATTCGGAGCTAGGGAGCTGAGGTAATCCTGTGACGTTTTAAGAACTTCGTTATTGTCGATGATCAGTGTAGTGGTCCTTACATTCATTCTTTAAAAGTCTCAGTCATTTCTTTGGTCCTGATTTTTCAAGTAAACCAGAATGATCAAGTATCTCCCAGTGGGTTTCTACATTGTTGCTTTCATGGGACAAGGTGAAAAAGAATTTTTACTTCTTCTCTGTGTTGATTATGTTACAGAATATTTGTTTATGTTTTGACTGATCCCCCATTAGAATGGAAGCTCTGGTGAGCACAGAAACTTTGTCCTATTCCCTGTTTTATCCTTAACGCCTTGGGCAGTGACTAGTACAGAGTGATGAGTATTTGCTGAATGAATGAATGAATGATTGCAGTCCTATAGACAGAAAATTTGTTGATTCAGTGCTTTTGCTTTTTGTGTTTAGTTCTGAAAATCTGGAAGGACTCGATGTTTACATGCACATCTTACAGCTACTTACCACAGTGGATGATGGAATTCAAGCAATTGGTAAGATGTTGTATGGGGAAGCACTGTATTTACTCATTTTGTTGTTTTCTGTTTTTTAAGTACTACTTTCTTTATCATTTTTATTAAGTACAGTGTCCTGATACTGGAAAAGACACTTGGAATTTACTCTTTGACCTGGTCTGCCATGAATTCTGCCAATCTGATGATCCACCCATTATACTTCAAGAACAGAAAACAGTGCTGGCCTCTGTTTTTTCAGTATTGTCTGCCATCTATGCTTCACAGGTTGAACAGGAGTATATAAAGGTAGAAAAAGGCAAGTATCATTTTAGTTCACTAAATTAAATTCTACCAGATTTTAAAACCTAGGTTTGTGGTGTTCATTTGCTTTCTTTCTCCCTTTTTTGAAAAAATCCTCTCTTGAAGATATGTTTTTATTGATTTTAGAGATAGAGGAAGAGAGAGAGAGAAAGAGAAAACATCAGTGAGAGAGAAACATCGATTGGGTGCCTTCCATAGGTTCTCCTACTGGGGAACAAATCCACAACTTAGTAGGTACATGCCCTGATCAGGAATCGAACCCACAACCTTTTGTTGTATGGTACAACAATTCAACCAACTCAGCCACCCAGCCAGGGCAACTCTCTCCCATTTTTTTTTAATTAAAAAAAATATATATATCTTTATTGATTTCAGAGAGAGGAAAAGAGAGGGAGAGAGAGAGAGAGAAACATCAACGACAAGAGTCATTGATCGAGCCCGCAACCCGGACATGTGCCCTGACCGGGAATCAAACCCCAATCACCTGGATCCTACATCGACGCTCAACCGTTGAGCCACGCCCGGCCTGCCCATTTTTTATTTTAGTGCTTTTATTCTCATGATTATAAAAATATTTCATTCTCAATAAAAAAAAAAAAATTGCAAAATTTATAAAAGGATAATAGTGTTTGTATTCCTGCCATCTAGAGATGATTGCTGTACACTCACATGCATATATATAGTTTTAAGTCCTGCTTTTTAGGCAATTTCTTTTCAGTTAGAAATAGAAAATGAATATTTTTCTATGTACACAAATGGTCTTTCACAGAATGATTTTTATGACTACAGTAAAATTTGTGATCCATCTAGAATTTATTCTGGTGTTACATGCAAGGTTTTTTCCAGATGGCTACCCAGTTACCTCAACATCATTTAATGGAAGAAGCAGTTTACCCACATTGATTTGAAGTTTCTTGATTACTATGTTTTAAATATCCCTATATATTTTATTCAGTTCCATTGCTCTGTCCATGTATCAGTACCTATAGTGTTTTAATTATTAAAGCTTTATGTTTTGGTAACTAGTAGGACTGGTCCCCTTTCATTCTCTTTGAGAATTTTTTTACTATTATTTTTGTTTGACACTGAATTAGAGTTAGAGCTTCTAAAAATAAAACCCAAAAATCTTCCTAATTGGGGTCATGTTACATTTATAGAGTATCCAAGAACATGTGCTTTTCCATTTGTTTAAGTCTTATTTTGTGCCCCTCAGTAATGTTTTAGGGTTTTGTTCATACAGATCTTGCATCTTTCTTACTAGGTATACTCCTAGATATTTTATCTTTTGGATTGCTATTGTCTGTGATGCCTTTTCTTTCATTGATTATTGTTGTTGGATTATATAAAGGCAATTAATTTCTGTATGTTAATTTTACTGAATTCTCTTATTCTTTTTTATAGTTGTTCAGTGGTAATCTTGGGCTTTATCTGATACAGCTTTGTTTTGTTTTTTTTTCTATGTTTTTTTTAAAAAAAAATATGTCTTTATTGATTTCAGAGAGAGGAAGGGAGAGGGAGAGAGATAGAAACATCAATGGTGAGAGAGTCATTGATCAGCTGCCTCCTGCACGCCCCCTACTGGGGACTGAGCCTGAAATCCGGGCATGTGCCCTGACTGGGAATTGAACCACAATATCCCGGATCATAGGTCAATGCTTTACCTCTGAGCCATGCCGGCTGGGCTATATTTATATTTTAACAACAACAGTAGTTAACACTGTATTGTATATTTAAATGTTTCTAAAAAAGTTTTCATCACAAGAAAAAAATTTTGTTACTATGGGTGGTGATGGATGTTAACTTTTTGTGATAATCATTTCACAGTATATATATATATATATATATATATATATATATATATATATATAAATAAATATATATATATATATATA